AACTGCGACCGCCTCGTGTCTCTGTTGTTGTTGTTGCAGACATCCGTGAGCTAATAGAAGTGGATGACGTCATGGAAGATGAATCCTTAAGGTTTGGTCCCAATGGCGGTTTGGTGTTTTGCATGGAATACTTTGCCAATAACTTTAACTGGCTCGAGGAAAGCCTTGGGCATGTGGAGGATGACTATATATTGTTTGATTGCCCAGGTAAACAAACGTCAATGTTTTGGTATCATTCTTCGTTTGCGCTATAAACCTTGTAGTACCTTTTTTTTGTTGGTTATAATCACTCACACTTTTTTTTTTTAATTGTTAACAGAGTCACTTTCAGATGTTTCTGAGGTGAACTTGGTCCCTGGCTAATCATAGAATCCCAGACTGGTTTGGGTTGGGAGGGACCTTAAAGCTCATCCAGTCCCAGCCCCCCTGCCAGCAGCAGGGACACCTTCCACTAGACCAGGTTGCTCAAAGCCTCATCCCGCCTGGCCTTGAACACTTCCAGGGAGGAGCAGCCACAGCTTCCTTGGGCAACCAAGTGATCTGGGTGGCTGCACTTGTTACCAAAATCCAGAAATTAACTCCTGAACACCAGTGTGGTTTTAAGGAGCGGGCACCTCTTTATTGCAGCGCTGGAGACACGGAGCATCGCTCCGTCTGACATGTCTAACCAAGCATCAAAATTCCTCAGTTTTTATACCCATTTTCTATCAATCATAGATTGTTCCAGAAGTTCCTTTGCATAAAAGTGCACAGTATGCTCACCTTTAAATTTAACCTTTACAGTGATTGGTTTCGTTAGTTATATAACCTCATCAATATTCTTAACCCAAAATAATCATTGGTCAATGCTGCTTAGCTCTACTGATTGAAATCATTGATATTCAAATCAAGATGGGAAGGGTAAGGGGTTTGCAAACAGCATAACTGGTGTCCAAGACAATCTCCTTAGTTTTTTTAAAACAAAACATAGAAAATCCAGTAATTTCCTGGGGAGGTTTCTGTGGTTATCTATTTCAAACCTAACAATTGCTTCTCTGGTTATCTGTTTCAAACTTAACAATGACTTTTATGGTTACCTCTTTCAAACTTAACAGTCTTAACTTACACATTATGCTTTACTATTTTGTGTCTTCTGAATCAGACTTGACTCTTTCTTCTATATGATCAAATCTTGATTATTTTATCAAAATATTTGCAGCACACTGATGTTTGACAGCATCACACGGTGTGGGAATGCCATGGCAACTGCTAATGCTAACTGGGGGTCAAGGGAGAAGAAAACCCTTTTATTTCTTTACCACTTCTCCAGGAAAAGTTCACCCAAATGCAGTCAGAGTTGTCTGAAAAGAAAGATGATGCTCTCTTCAATAGCTTTTCTATATATTAAGTGCATTGCCCATATTTGTATAACTGATAACTGTGAATTGTTCCTGTTAGCTTCACATTTTGCAGACTAATACCCAAAGTGTGCCCTAGGTCAGATCGAACTCTACACGCATCTGCCGGTGATGAAACAGCTGGTGGAGCAGCTGCAGCAGTGGGAATTCCGTGTCTGTGGAGTTTTTCTTGTGGATTCTCAGTTTATGGTGGAATCTTTTAAGGTATCCATTTTAAATCTGTTGTTAAAGTTCATATTGATAAAGAACAAGAAATTGTTGATAGTTAAACTGTCACACTGAGCAATTTAGGGAGCTGGGTTTGTTTAGCCCAGAGGAAGGAATGCTCAGCCGGGGGAGAGCTGATCGCTGTCTTCAGCTGCCTCGGACACAGGATGCAGCAAAAAAAATTCCAGTTGGATGTAAAGGGAAAAATCCTTCACTGTGAGAGTGGTCAGACTGGAACAGGGGCACAGAGAGGTTGTGTTTTGTGTGTTCATGGAGTTACTCAGAACTTGACTGGGCAAAACCCCTGAGCAGCCTGATCTGACTTGGAAGCTGGCTCTGCTTCAAGCAGTGCTGTGGAACAGATAACCTCTCAAAGTCCCTTCCAACCTAAATTCTTCTGTGGTTCTACGAGAGCTTTCTTGGATCTGGAGGGAGAGCAGGCCACTTTCCTCGTCTAGCAGTAAAAATCCTGAGATGGGCTTTGCGTTTTGTAATGGCCTTTTCAGTGGCTGATCCAGTTTTGAGTCCCTAGAAATAAGATGGCAGATGGGAAGCTCCTCACCTCCCTTTTCCAACAGACATAACGACTCCCCACTTGGCCTTGTGTCCATGTTTCATATATTCACTAGATTTTATCTATGGTAGGGTGCCCTGCATGTTTATATTGTGTTTTTCTGTACTTAATTACATCATTTTTCATATTCTTTAAGTTTATCTCTGGAATTCTGGCAGCACTCAGTGCAATGATATCTTTAGAGATTCCACAGATTAACATCATGACCAAAATGGATTTGCTAAGCAAGAAAGCCAAGAAAGAGATAGAAAAGTAAGTTCTAAAGAATTACTTACTCTGTAGCATAATATCTTGAGGTAAACTTCACTCAAAAATCAGTCATTTTCCACAATTAAAACATACTTTTCTCAAATGGGAGAAGATAAATTTGTTCTATATTGAACATAGTCTTTAAATGTCTGGATAGGATGCTTACAATTAGAGTCAAAAGCCTAGCTCTGTGTTTGTACATATCTCTGGATTTTTCTGTAAATAATTATCCTGAATAATTAATGTCATTCTGAGTGACATTCCCAGGGTATTGTACTTCACAACCTAAACCAGAGGTGACCCTGTTGGTTTTTTGATACTGAACATACTGAATTACTTAAGTGTAACTTTACATTTGTGCTAAAATGACAAAATTAAAGTTTTTCCCTGTGGTCTTCCTCAAAGAAGAATATACAAGCATATTACCAAAAAGAAAATAAAAACCACTTTGGTTGTTTCTACTAGCAATCATAATCTGAGATAATCAAATACTATTTTTAAACATTCCTGATAGGAAGTTAGTTCGTTCAGATGACAGAATGACAGGTGGTTTTGGTGGCTGTATAAAAGCACAATGACTCATTTGCTCTGTGGCCAAGGATTCTGTTGATGTTAACGATGACTTTGTTTCTCCCAGGTACTTAGATCCAGATATGTATTCTATGATTGAAGATTCTACAAATATATTGAAAAGCAAAATGTTTAAAAAATTGACTAAATCTATATGTGGATTGGTAGGTATATTGCTTTTTAACTGGTACTCTTAATACTGTAGGTACTGTAATAATTCCTCCCCTTCACCCTGTAACTATGTATTTACCTGACAGCAAGGATCAAAAAGATTCTCAGGCATGTGAGCATTTTACTTTTTGCCTATTTTAACTCAGTTTTTAATTTTTTTACAGATTAGCATCAGATTCTTGATACTAACATTTGGATTGTAACCAATACATTTTACATTTGGATTTAGCCAATACATTTTCTGTGAATCCTGCTCTATTAGCAATTTTGCAAGACCGAAGTGTGGTCTAAGGAGGTGGCTTAGGGTGCTATGAGTGAGAAATAACTTACTGCATTTTCTTACTACCATCCTTTAAATCCTTTCTCTAGATTGATGACTATGGCATGGTTCGATTTCTGCCTTTTGATCGCTCTGATGAGGAAAGTATAAACATAGTTCTGCAGCACATAGACTTTACTATTCAGTATGGAGAAGATCTTGAATTTAAAGAACCAAAGGTAAAGTACTTCTGATGATAAGATGAAAAATTAAAAAGGTCCATAATATAAATTGTAATATAAATATGTTCCTTGCCTTGCTAATAAATTATTGTCTCAGTATGGTTCAAACTAAGCCATTTAGTGTTTTAGTGACAATGCTTATGTCATCTTCATTTACAATTACAAAAGTGAAATTCTTTAATACCAGCTTCCATATCCAGACTGTTCAAACGGTTGAGTTTAAAAGTAATGCTTTGGTTTTCAAAAATAATGGAATTTTAAACTCCAAAGGTCAGAAAGGACCATTAAGAGCTCTAAAGTTTCTTCATACTCTTCAAACTTGCCTGATAATTCCTGTATATGAGGTTGAGATTAGGAATAAATTCTATAATGTAAAATACATGATAGAATGCTGCTGTGTTAAAATCTGTTCCAAGCCTGGTCTAGTTTTATTATTCAGCTTGTAAATCCTAAGGAAAAAGTCCAGTGCTTTTATTCCATTTTTTAATTCAGTTTTGTACTCTGAATTTGTACTTTGAATATGCAGAATACCTGGATCTGGATTTTGACCTATACCATTTCGATAGCTCTAGAAACAAATTGCTTTTCAGAAAGTTTTGCTACATGTTTTATGGAACTGTATTAGAGACTGTTCCTGTTGTAGTTTCTAAAATAAAGCATCACAGAACAGACAATATACAACAGCCACTAGGGAAAAGTCAGGTTTTACCTTTTTTGGTTTTTCTTTGGCAGGAATGTGAAGAAGATAAATCTGCTCTTGTGGATGAATACTTTCAAGATCATGTGGATGAGTAAAACCAGATGTTAAAAAATGGGAGGAAAATACATTGCTTGTGTTAAAAAATAAAAATGTAAAAAAAAAAAGAAAAAAGAAAAAGTTTTTAAAAAAATCCCCACAAACATACTCGATGTTTTATCTGTAAGATAACTAAATATTTTTAGTGAAAAGTGAGCTATATGACCTCATAACTATTTTAATAAACATTTTTTATTCTTATGTGCATGTGTTATAAAATACATCGCCTAGCATTAGTACATTCCCCACATATGGATGTATCTCATTTAAGCATAGGAATGCTTGAAAAAAAAAAACCCTAATAATTTGCAAGAGAGGCAAAGCCAAATTATCTCCAGTACTGAGTCATTAGTTTCACTATTAGATGAGAGAAAAAATTGGTTTAAAGGATGAAAACTGTACTTCATGGGCTGAACCTGCATTGGTTCATCTATTAGAATTTAAGGCCATCCTCACAAAATACAAGCAAACATGTATTTCAGTAGAATAAGAAGAACTGATGTCATTCTCTGGAGCAACTTGCTTAGTTATCAGATGTCTGAGTACCAGGATACCTGTCAATGGAAACCAGATCAAGGAGCAAATACCTGGAGGCAACTGCACTCACCTAAACTTGGGATGTGATAGCAGCTCGGCACGGTTTTGATTTGTAGTTTCTTCTAGTCTGGAAGGTGTAATTTCTGATTCAGCTGTAGAGTTGTTCTCATGTCTGTTCAAATAAATGGTTATCTTGTTGATACAGTTCTTATGTTTGAAGAAACTGCTTTTTCCAAAGCAGAGGCAGTACAGTGACAGAGGTTCAAATGACCAGCAACTTCTGCATGTTTAGTGGAGGAAGGCTCCCCAAAATCCAGGTGTGGAGGTCAGGGAGGATCACATGGGCTCTTTTAAATGGGAACAAAGTAGAATAGAATTAAGAGGTCACCCAAGAGCATTGAAATAGTTTTTCAAAGCCAGGTTTCCAAAAATTGCCAGCTTTACGACCATGATACTTGGTTTTATCTCGTGATACTTGGTGTTTCAAAAACCTTACTCGCAGCTCCAGACAATTAGTAAATGCTGAGATTTGAGTTCCAAGATAAATCACTGCAGTCACCAAGCAGAGGTGAAAAAAATCAGCTCTTTGGGGCTTTAAAACACATATATCTTTTTTTAATAGTTGGTGCATGTTAACCTCACAGCGTGACAAGTCTTTTCATGCCCACGCAGAGATAACTGCATCACAGCAGGGCCTGATCTGGCTGAATTAAACCACACAAACATTGGGAGAACTTTGGTGGCTTAACTCACCTCTGGATTGGCACATCCTTGGGACGAGTCACGCTTGACGACTGTGAAATGAGACACCCCAAGCCCTGCAGTTAGATCCCTTTGAGTCACTTCCACATCTCCCCATTTTTTCTCCCTGATTCACGTCATAAATCATTTATCAGGGACAAATTCAACATGCTGGGTCACACAGATGGGTATGGTTTGACAGCAGCAGGAGTGTCCACCTTAAAACATTGCATCCCTCCAAAGGCAAATGTGTTTGGACCCGTTCTGTGCTTCTTTATACCGAGTGCGATGAAAATAGGCAGAAGAGAAAACAATCTCTGAATAAAGTGTCTCCATTTGTGCTCTTGTCAAGCGCTGACCCTCGCTGGGGACAGGATCTTGTCTCTGCCAGTGAGGAGAGAAGATGTCAGGGTGGCTGGAAAAGGGCGGCATGGAGGGACCGAGGAGGGAGAGGGGGAACACCGGCCGGAGAAAAAGCAGAGGGAGAGGGGGAACTCCATGAGGGGAAAAAAGCACCG